GCTATGTATGGCTGACAATGCCATGGTGGATCGTTCACCTTTTTGACGATATGCAGAACTACTATACTTATTAATATAAACAAATATAATATATTCCACGTAAAAGGCTAAAAAGAGGTGGCGAGCATGTCCAGCCCCAACCGATAGCTACCCCAAACTCACACAATTTGCTTAAAAAAGTAAGCGTTTGATTTTAGCCTTGTGGCGGCACCCTATACACAAACCAGACAATCAAGTGATGGACTTGAAAATCTAGAGACACGAAAACGCATTTACTTATTTGTTGAAACTAAAAGATATAGGTTAATTTTGAATAACGTCTGCAATGTACGCGTACAGAGTGCTGCTGTTTATTAGTGAAGCATAACGTTGAAGAAATGTGTTCGTTTTGCAACACAGTCTGGGGCAGTTCGTTAAACCATTTCATTAAAACGTCTTACGTATAAAAGTCACCACACATCCGACTTGGGGGACTGAACATTCAGCTTATGCCTTGCGACAAGAGGAGATAATACACTCATTGAACTTCCGTCTCAGGAACAAACGGTATAACCATGACAACCGGCTTCCTCGAGGAATATATTTTATTATTCATGACGCGTGATAATAAAACCACATCGTGTTTTGTTGCTTCTTTCTTGCCAAAGTTAGTCATCCGTGTGACCGTTGCGGTTACAAAGCTCTTCAGCACCAGAACGGTCGTCAATTATTCATTTTCATCAACACCAGACACTGAAGGCCACACCACACATGTCATGCTTTTGTGTGTTAAGGGCATATGTTAGTACAAATTGACTTCACTACCGATTTCAATACAACCGCCGAGAGAGCGTGTGTGTGTGTGTGTGTGTGTGTGTGTGTGTGTGTGTGTGTGCTGGCGGCGAGTGTGGTTGATATTGAGGATAATAACATATTTCTGTCGTCTTAATATTACACCAATATTCGATTAACATTCTTAAACCCTCCCCTGCAATATGCATAACATATATAGATGCACAACCAAACAATCAAAAGCAATCAAGAAAGATTATTTTGGAAAATAGGGTGGCAGTTATTTAGAAGAACGAGTAATGTATTTGTTGCAGCTTAATAAACTTAGATTCGCGGTAAACGGTCACAACATCAAGTGAACAACACTGTCTTAAAGTATGACTGGGAAATGTTAATTATTAATAACGCCTCATGTTATCGAACATCACCATGACAACCTGGCTTTGTTTGCATCACTTTGTGTTTACTCCATTGATATTTAAATTCTTGATTGTCACTTGTCTTGGGGTAAGTGATATTTATAGAGCAGATGTTGATATGTATTTTGATGTTATTCTTTTGTTGTCACAAGCGTTGCCAAGGGATACACCAAAGTATCATACAAATCCAATGAACACACAGAGCCGACCTTTAATCGGTAATGTGAAAGTAAATTGCTAAAAGTGGCCCACTGAGACACCATGCCGCACGCCATAAACGCCATCTATTGATATCATACGTACTTTATCAAGATATTATGTAATTGGGTTAATCGTCGCGTCCATGTGTGTGCATGTCTGTGTCCGTCCGTGTGCGTGTGTGTCTGTGTCCATGTATGTGTGTATGTCTGTGTCCGTGTGTGTTTTTTTTTGTGTCCGTCCGTGTGTGTGTGTCTGTGTCTATGTCCATGTGTGAATGTCTGTGTCCATGCGTATGTATGTCCGTGTGTGTGTTTGTCTGTGTGTGTGTGCTTGTGTCCGTGTGTGTATGTGTGTGATTGTGCGTGCTTGTGCGGTGTATGTCTGTGTCCCTGTGTCCGTGTGTGTGTGTGTATGTCTGTGTCCGTGTGTGTATGTCTGTGTCCGTGTGTGTGTGTGTGTGTGTGTGTGTGTGTGTGTGTGTGTGTGTGTGTGTGTGTGTGTGTGTGTGTGTGTGTGTGTGTGTGTGTGTGTGTGTGTGTGTGTCCATGTATGTGTGTGACATGAATACATACTCCGATACAATATACTGAGACCAGACCCTGATTATTCCACCCAAAGAGCAACGACCTTGTTTTAACGTCTTGTAGTATGAAGCGGCCGGAGATGCAACCACTGACCTTCCGCTCTCCGGGCAGACGCTCTATCCAATAAACCACGGTTGGTATAAGTAAAGGGACGGTCGGGTAGCCTAGTGGTTAAAGCGTTCGCTCGTCACGCCGAAGACCCGGGTTCGATTCCTGACATGAGTACAATGTGTGAAGCCGATTTCTGGTGTGCCTCGCCGTGATATTGCTGGAATATTGCTAAAAGCGGCGTAAAACCATACTCACTCACTCACTGGTATAGGTAAAGGACACTCTCCAAGCCGGGGGTCTTCACAAAGCCTTTTTAACAATGATCCTGCTCTATCTGAACGAACATTTGGGCACAGGTAGATCAGTTGTCTGAGACGCTGATATACATCTATTGGCCGAATCTACTAGTTCGAATCCAAGATTGTGGTTTTTGGTCTGTCATCACCACAACCATATTTTATTCCAAATATGCTTGTAGGCTTTCCTCCAAGGTATGACACAATGTAAACGAAGTGCTGTTCTGAGCCCCAAGTCTCTCGTCTCACGAAAAACGATGTGCCTCTGTACAATGGTGAACGAACAGTTTAGAAGTCTGAATTTGGTAATAGTCTCGATTCAGCGGCTTTCTGCAAAGTGAAGCAACCATAGACCCAAAACCAGAGTGTGAAATACTTAGATTTGTTTGTTGTTTAACGCCGCACTCAGCAATATTCCAACTATATGACGGCGGTCTGTAAATAATCGAGTCAGGCCCAAACAATCCAGTGATTGACATCATGAGCATCGATCCATGCAATTAGGATACGGCCACATGCATCAACCATGTCAGCGAGCCTGACCACCCGATCCCGTTAACCGCCTCTTACGAGAAGCATTGGTTGCTGAAAACCTATTGTACCCCGGATCTTCACGGGTCGAAATAATTAGAGAATAATCTAAGAGCAACGGGGATTTAGGGATAAGCTGTCTCGAGTGAATTAATTTTGTTTTTGTTTGTTGGTATGTTGTTTAACGCCAAACTCAATGATCGAATCTGGACCTGACAATCCAACACGAGCATCGATTTACGTATTTAATGTATCAACCAAGTCAGCGAACCTGACCAACCGATCCCGTTAGTCGCCTCTTACGGCAAGCATTGGATCCTGAAGATCAATTCTAACCCTTATCTTAACGAATAAAATTAATTTTGTTCCGAGGATCATTAAGTTCACAAAACAAAGATGATCCTTAATTCCGAGGGAGGTTAATCTATAAAATAATAAAATGTAGACATAAATTCGTCATAATGTCATAAATAATGGAGGAAGTAATTTTCAATTGTGTTCGGGGGCAGAGTTGCGTCCCTTGGGCACGCCAGAAACCTATGATTGTGGGTTCGAATCCCGGTTATGTTTCTAGGTTTGTCAGCACCATACCCGTGCTCTTGGGTTTCACCGAAGTGATAAACGTCTTAGACCAGCATCTCTTTGGGCTTTCCTCCCACATATAACTGGAATACTGTTAAAAGCGTCGTTAAACACAACTCACTCACTCTAATGTATTCGGCAATGCGTTCACGTGACCTCTTCGCAAGCCATGAATACAATGGAATAGTCGTTGTAAAGCTCAGCGAGAATTATTGAACAATACATTCACCTGTAGCCATTCTTTATGGATAAGACTATCTGATATGACACATTACTGATTTAACGAATAGGCCTCACATATACCGTTACTTTAAGTATTTTGCCGTTTTACGACCGCTTCAGATGAGCTCTATTATTTCTACCTATCTGCGAACGCTGTTCTGATTAAAGTCTCTGAATGGCCATGAGGTTGATATTCGATCGATATTCTATATTCGATTCTGAAAATCATAACCAATAGATCAAAGCGACAAGAACAGGTCAATGAAATCTCTGCCAAAAATAGAGTCCATCACACGATTCCGTACATCATAAGCTGGGTGGTTCTGAATCACTATCAAATAGTGAAGATAATAGGTGAATCACTATCAAATAGTGAAGATAATAGGTGAATCACTATCAAATAGTGAAGATAAAATGTGCTTAACCTTCCCCACCAATAGCACCCGTCACAAACACATGCACAGGCGTGCATTAAGCGATGTAACTAATGTTTTTATGTCGTAAAAAGAATCAATGAATCAATAGAGATTCAATTACAATGTGATTACCATCCTTCCATTTACCTCCCGATCCTTGACCGTGAATTGTTATCGATTAGCCTGTAGAAGTCTGAAGACGCTGATAACTACCTTCAACCCGTGGTCGAGGATCAGGGGGTAATTGCATACCACAAGTAGTGATTTCGCCATCTGTTTCAAACAAGACGCTTCTACAGGAACATATGACATACATTTCTATGATAACAAAGAATCCAAACGTATTAAACCAAACAGTAATGTCCACGCGAAAAATAAATATTAACTACATTATGAAATTGTGGATTGGTTTTCAGCTTAATTGGCATAATATTTGCCAGCACTCAGCAAAAGTTAATTTGAAGGAAATTAAATGTTTAAGTATTATTCAAACCATTTACGAAATTGACGGTGAAAATAAAGTATACACATGAAAACTGGATTTGATAAAAAAAATACAAGTATCAAAACGTTACTATGCTAAAAACATCGCCGAAAAGGGAAAACCAAAGATGCAGGACTCAACAGTGATATCCGTATAAAATACATCGTCATCAAATAACCATTTTCTGTTTCATTTCATTTTAGCGACTAAATATTGGTGTATAGTTTCTTTTACCTGGCAGTATATTTCGCTAATACACAAATTCACTCTGTCCACAATGGTCCATTATGTAAAGTGACACATATTGTGGATTAATTGGTTACTGACGAAGACAGGCAAACCATTTGCTAGCAGACTGCACCAGTTGAAGTTACTTTGCCGACACTAGCCACTCCTTGCCGAGTACATAGTCGACACGAGGTGTGTAGTCTGTCGCCCATAGCAGCGTGTATCTATCTACAGGGATGTTCACACTAGGAACCTGGAAGTCGGCCAGTCAATGAATACAGGGTAGAGAGAATGTCGCTGGGACTCTGTGCTTGAGAGTCAAATTGTCTCAGAGGCACACAACACCACAGGCAATCTGTTGCGCTCGCCCGAGAACACACAACACCTTTAACGGCGGCAACACTGCAGTCTGGCTGAGCATATGGACAGAGGAAGGATCGATGCTGACGAGAAGTGACTGCAGCAAAGAGCATCGCTGGACATACCTATAGTGCACGGTGGTAGGACGGTGTCGGAGCAGTGTGCAGTTGATGCAGTTGATGCATGAAGCTGGAAGCGTCGACAGGGTTCCTGGAGATAGTGGTGTTTGGTGCCAGCGGTTGGAATGTTCCATTCCATAAACACGCGACAGACAGAGCTGAAAGGATCGTTCGATATTCCCCTGCTAAAGTATAAGCAGTGGAAACACAAGGCGTTATTCAGTGCGATTGTATTTAGTTTTTGAGATTTCGAGGTAGGGACTTCCTGTTTGCACACAAGTGAGACGGAGTGTGTGTCTTGGTGTGTATGGTTTGGCTTATGTCGGTGCTGCAGTCATGGGATTAGCTGGTGAGACTTTATCTGACAAAGCTGTGTAGTTACTGAATTACTTATTGTCCCTGTAAATTTTCTGACGGTGTGGTGTCAATGAGTGGATGAGTATTACATTCAACACTGTGTTACTGTGACTGGAAGAGACAAGAAGAACGATGGCCAAGCTGTGTAGGTTTGTTAAACTTAATGACCGGCTGAATGCTCAGGTCTTCACGTTTGTATTGCCTGGAAGGATCGTCCGGGAATTTACGCCAGATTGTTACGCTAAAGACTTTGTGTATGGCTTTCAAAAATGGAGTGTAAGCTTTGTCCGAAGTGATCGTCACATCGGGGTGTTTCTGAAGTTGCTCACGACCTCTCAGGGCATGAAATGTCGTCTTGATTTTACAGTCACTATCCTCAACAGGGACCATTTCACCAAGAATGAACACTTCATTGAAAAGAGCTGTGAGTTTACGACTGAGAAGAACGTTTGCGGTAGGAAAACTTTTATCGAGATCGACGAACTTTTACAAAGAAATTTTATTCAAGAAACTGGTGATGTCATGCTAGAGTTGGAAATGAGAAATGCAGTTTGTCAGTTTGAATGCTTCATGAAAATTCCCAAGGACAACCATGCGTCTCGACAAGGATATGGCGACAGAATGGAATCCACTTACTACACATTTGGTCTGTTTGACTGGAGCGTGTCTTTATTTCCTGACACTAGTTCCATTGAAGCTGATGGGAGTATTGCGGTTCAGCTGCAAAGACACACAAGTTTTGACCACCTTTGTAGTCTGAAGTACAGGGTTGTTCTCGGAGAAGAGGGGACGTTTGATTCACGGGAACTGGTACAAATCCTGGATACATCTGGAATAGGCGAACCGTTCACAGTGGGTACCTCTATGTTACGGCTGGCCCAGGGAAGGTCGACCTTGCGTGTGAGGGTTGAGATGATCTCGGTGGTGTCGGTGAGTGAGGTCAACGTCCACGCCTTGAACAGGAACAGGAGTCGCGCCCACCTCTATGACCGGGACAAACAGGCGTGGATGCTGGAGGCGGATACTAGCGGGAAGTACCTCACTTTTAAACTTTACTACACGGATATTTCCCACGTGCCCCGGAAATTCAGCCGCTATGTGGCTTGGCACGTGAGAATCTTGACCAAGTCTCAGTCGAAACCACTGACCGCTTTGGACGGTCCGTTTGGCAAGTACTTTGTACAGCAGGACCTTGACGAGGGCTTTCAAATGAGAACAGACATCCCAGTGGACGAGGTGAGTGACACCTTTTCAAAAATCAATAATTGGCTGGAAAATTGAAATAGACCTCGAACCCATTTATGTTCTCGTGCACCTCTGTGATATATATGTCGGTTATAACAACGACCTTGATATCGCCTTATAAGGCACGGGTGGACCAGTCGTCTGAGCGAAATGTTTGATTGTTGGATCGAATCCCGGTTCGCCCCGAATGTCTTTTTAGGTTCGTCAGCACCATACCCGTGCTCGTGGGTTTCACCAAAGTGATAAACGTCTTAGACCTGCATCACTTTGGCTTTCCTCCTGACATGCCGTGATATAACTGGAATACTGTTAAAGCTGTGTTAGACCCAACTCACTCACTCTCACTCACTCACTCACTCACTCTCAGATATATCATATTCCTGTCAGACAACGATCTTCTCAAAGGTCCGGGTTAAACTCTGACTTCAGCGATCAATGCTTGTCGTAAGAGGTGGCCAGGCTTGATGCAAGTCATCGTATGCCATGCGGAGATCGATGCACAAACAAACAATCAAATATACTAGATAACGATTATTGATGTTACGGAGGTATGGAAGGTGTGTTTCAATCAAATAGTTAGCTTCATATTGGGCGAACCTTTATATAAGTGATTCAAATATCGGTTTGATGAATGTTAACAAATAGTTTCCTATCTTGACTAATGGCGGTTTCACAGTGCTAGCCCACTGAGATACCATGCCGCAGTTTAACATGAATACCCCAGTCAAACACATAATACTGACTCTTATCCCTTAATGCCGACCGCAAGGCAGGGCAACAACACATACCATCTATTGGTTTGACGTGATCGGAGATCGAACCACCGACCTCCCGCTCTCCGGGCAGACGCGCTACCCACTACACTGTATATGTACACATGTACAAAGTGTGAATCAATGAATGAACGCATTTAAACTCGGAATGCCTGCCTGACTGAATTCCCTTCGTCATATAGCACCAAAGCTCCTACTGTGTGTTACAATAGGACGTCCTTCTTGTACATGTAATGCTCTACAAGTACCTGAGTTTATAATGCCTACTCGGAATGGCGGCTATGGATTTGCAATAACATTACATCATATCATACGTACTTGGCAGCGCCGGTCTATTTTCTCCTCTTCCTAATCAGCCAAATGCGTATGCTCCATACAATGTGTGTGTCGAATGAAAGACGACTTGATTGATTTCACACATAGCCACGCTAGTTTCCCTCGCAGCCCGCGAATGATTCTCCGCAGTTACTGATTGGGGAATGTTTTTTTATCAGCAATAGAGCGCATACACAGAACTATATATCCCACGAAAGTCTAATCACGTTGATAAAATACTCCCTTATGGAAATGGTTGTTCATAGTTGTGGATGTGACACATTTGTGAGGGTAAGAGGCGACCAACGGGATCGGGTGGTCAGGCTCGCTGACTTGGTTGATGCATGTCATCGATCCCAATTGCGTGGGTCGATGCTCATGATGTCAGTCACTGGATTGTCTGGTCCTGACTCAATTATATACAGACCGTCGTCATATAGCCGTAATGTTGCTGAGTGCGGCGTTAAACAACAAACAAACATATTCGTGAGTCAGGCCTTGTTATTTTAGTGATATTTGTAAAAGAACTATTGCAAGTTATGCATATGCAACGCGGACTCGTCTATTATTAATGAATAACTGTGTAAGTGATATTGACATATTGAGAGGCCTTTGTTGAGTGCTCAATCAACCCTATTAGGTTGCACTACCAGTGTCAACAAGCACATAAAGCGATTATGTGAATATTCCTCTACGTAGCTTAAGTGGTCTGTAGCACAGGATTAAAGGAGTACTTATTGTGAAGCACGGAGGTAATTGCACATCCAGGTTAACACTCGGTAGATTGATGCTCTCGTAGGCTGCTGACATATTCAGTAGCCGAGTGGTTTAAGTGTTCGCTCGTCACATGGAAGGCCCGGTTCAATTCCCATCATGTATTCAACGTGTGAAGCCCATTACGGCTGTCCCCAACTGTTATATTCATGGAATAAAGTGGCTAAAACTGCACTTTCATGAAACTGGGGCCAGTAGACATTGTGTCAAACGAGGTATTATTTTCTTCAAGTGATCATTTGCTTCGCCTTTCATGATTCTGTGTTAAATAATTGATTAGGAGATGGTGCCACGATTACTTGTCGTTGATAATTTGCCAATATGATCGGGCATGATATGAACGACATGATTTGTCGTCAGGGAGAGTGTGTATTTCAACACCGGACAGAAATGCCATACGTGTTTTCTTTAGTTCTGTTTTCATTTTGATTAAGTTGGTATCCTGTTCAACATTACTTTTCTGAGCTTGGAAATATTTTTAAAATTTATTATGTCTCACAATCTACCCAACAAATATCCTATGTTATTTGCAGACATCGAACATGTTATTTGTTGACTAAGATATGCTCGTTCATGTTGTGTGACTGTCGCAAGGATCTGTGTAACACAAGGTATAATATAGTGTCGGCAATATGCTGAATGTGCAGAATATATTTTCAGCAAGGATCTGTGTAACATATGGGCAATACGATGAATATGCAGAATATATCGTTAGCAAGGATATGTGTGACATTAAGACTGAATGCTGAATTTGCAGAACATATTGTCGGAAGGTATCCGTGTCACATAAGGCGAACTGCTGAATGTGTAGAATTTATTGTCGGCAATGATATGTGTGACATACAGGCAATATGATGAATATGCAGATTGAATATATTGTTGGCAAGGATATGTGTGACATACAGGCAATATGATGAATATGCAGATTGAATATTTTGTTGGCAAGGGTATGTGTGACATACAGGCAATATGATGAATATGCAGATTGAATATATTGTTGGCAAGGGTATGTGTGACATGGAGACTGAATGCTGAATTTGCAGAACATATTGTCGGAAGGTATCCGTGTCACATAAGGCGAACTGCTGAATGTGTAGAATTTATTGTCGGCAATGATATGTGTGACATACAGGCAATATGCTGAATATGCAGAATATATTGTCGATAACGATTCGTTAACGCCCAGCGTCTGACAAGTATATGCATTAAATAATGCTACATCGATATAATGCCAAGTGCCATTCATTCAATTTACATACAACTAATCCAAATTTATCACCTGTACCGTGGTAGAAATACTCAAATTGACTAGAACATAAACAGTTGTTTCTTGGCGTACTATAATCAAAATATTGTGATTTTGTGTGTCTGAACGAATATTGATGGCAACGTGATGAATCCATTCCTCGCGTCCCGCATTGTATAGATATTGCTAACTCCATCATATTACATGCAATAATACACGTGATTATTCACACGCACTCGGTAACACCCCCTTGGGACTTCTCCCTGATATTTGTCCGTGCAATCGATACCAGCACTTTGTTATATTTGATGCCAAGCAATATCAACATAAACAGCTCAGGGCACTTTTTTATATTTGATGCCAAGAAATATAAACATAAACTGCTCACACCATTTCGATATGTTTGATGCCAAGAAATATAAACGTAAACTGGTCACGCGACTTTTGTATATTTGATGCCAAGAAATAATAACATAAACCGCTCACACCACGTTTTTATATTTGATGCCAAGAAATAAAACCATCAACTGGTCACGCGACTTTTGTATATTTGATGACAAGTAATATCAACATAAACTGCTCACGCCGCGTTTTTAAATTTGATGCCAAGAAATATCAACAAACACTGCTCACGCTACGTTTTTAAATTTGATGCCAAGAAATATATATATAAACTGCTCACGCCATGTTTTTATATTTGATGCCAAGAAATATAAACATAAACTGCTCACGCCCCCTTTATATTTGATGCCAGGAAATATATGCATAAACCGTTCACGCCATGTTATTTATATTTGATGCCAAGAAATATAAACATAAACTGCTCACGCCCCCTTTATATTTTATGCCAAGAAATATATGCACAAACTGCTCACGCACCAGGCCATCTATACCATTTCAAACATCAAGGGAAACTGTAATGACCACTTCCAATGCCGTTGAGTAATAATAAGTTGTCAAGAACTGCAAGAGTGGTTACAAAACATGATCTACGGGTAAATGTAATGGTTCTACTCGGCGTCAGATGCAGAACGTTACCAAAGATGATTTGACAGATAAGATAAGCAGACTCGTGAAGTGTGTTGGATAAATGACTTCACCGGCAGACCCATACATATCTTGTGGCATGGAACGGTTATTAAACCCATTGTACCGAGGGTCGTTGATTTGATTGAAACGCTGGATGACATCAGCGTAGCCTGGTGAAGGGCATGTCGCCCATCGAAATGTACTTAAGTGAGAGAAACTCATAAAATTCTCTGGACTCTGAGGTACTCTGAGAATATATTCTCTTTATAAATCCAGACAATCAGTTTGTTTGAACACCTGGTGTCCTAAGGAAATGCCCCTTATTGCCTTACTGCCGCCGACAACCATTTAATCAGCCTATAAACTTGAGATGTGTTGGAACTGGTTGAAGCGAATAGAACTGTCTCGGATACTCTACAAGTATTACATGGGGAGGTATATTGAGAAACCAGCAACATCGCCGTTTGTTTTATGAGCATGACATGCTAACTTAACTGCTATTCGCGCTATCCTTGTCGCACGTGTATACAATTAAAGCGACAAAGCCCTTTCCAATTTCCTAAGAAATGACTGCCAAAGAGTCGATTGTACGATTGCGACTGTATCATGAGCATTTGTTTATGAATCATTCTCAAATGGTGATGATGCCAGGTGTTCGCGAAAAGGTGAGCGTATCCTGACCCACCGGTTGCATCCGTCACAAACACATGCAAAGGCAAGCTTATTGTTCATCTGAAAAAGTACGGTATGCAATGATGTTATGAGTTATAATTGTTATCTGTCTTTTTGTATACTGTATGTGAGATCTGACTTCAATTTAATACTTCTGTGTAGGTGGTTTTAGAGGTTACACG